AGGGTGATACTGGCTTTGTAGAATGAGTTACAGAGGATTCCCTCCTTCTTGATGTTTTAGAACAGTTTCACTATGATAGGTGCCAGTTCTTTGTAGGTCTGTTAGAATTTGACTATGAATCCATTTGGTCCTGGGCTTTTTTGTTGTTGAGAAGTTTTTTTTTTTTTTATTACTGATTCAATCTCACTACTCATATTGATCTGTTTAGGATTTCAATTTCTTTCTGATTCAAGCTCCGGAGGTTCTGTGTTTCCAAAAATTTATCCATTTCCTCTAGATTTGCTAGTTTGTGTGCACAGAGGTTTTCACAGCAGTCACAGATGATATTTTGTGATTCTGTGGTATCAGTTCTAATGTCTCCTTTTTCATTTCTGATTGAGACTGAGTCATTTCGGTTCTATTTCTGATTAATCTTGCTAGTGGTCTTATCAGTTTTGTTTAGCTTTTCAAAGAACCAACTTTGTATTTTGTTGATCCTTTGAATTTTTTTTTTATTTCCACTTCATTTATTTTTGCTCTGATATTTATTATTTCTTTTCTTCTTCTAATATTGGGTTTGGTTTGTTCTTCTTTTTCTTGAGAGTGTGACATTGGGTTGTTAATTTGTGATCTTCCTTTGAAAGCCAACATTTGACTGCTGCTTTTCAAAGCAACCATCTCCATCCATTCTTCATTCTTCCACAATCTAATAAAGAAAGCAACTTCCCGGAATCCTCAGAGTTGCATACGTCTGTGTGTGTGTGTATGTGTGTGTATGTGTTTGTGTGTGTATTACTGCGTGTGTGTTTAGGAAAGGTGAAGTGAGTGAATGGTACATTGCCTTCTAGGAGTACAATAGAGGGAGTGGTACATTGGAGGGAGTGGTGGAGTACATTGCCTTCTGGGAGTCAAGAAAAGTCTTATTTGCAGTGCATGCTGGGAATTTTATTTTTCCTCCATGTCCTACTTACTTTTAGAATACTTGAGCTTAGCAGATCAGCCGGGTGCGGTGGCTCACGTCTGTAATCCTAGCACTCTGGGAGGCCGAGGCGGGTGGATTGCTTGAGGTCAGGAGTTCAAAACCAGCCTGAGCAAGAGTGAGACCCCCGTCTCTACTATAAAAATAGAAGGAAATTAATTGGCCAACTAATATATATAGAAAAAATGAGCAGGGCATGGTGGCGCATGCCTGTAGTCCCACCTACTTGGGAGGCTGAGACAGAAGGATCACTTGAGCCCAGGAGTTTGAGGTTGCTGTGAGCTAGGCTGACGCCACAGCACTCACTCTAGCCTGGGCAACAAAGTGAGACTCTGTCTCAAAAAAAAAAAAAAAAATAGAATACTTGAGCTTAGCAGGTAAATAAAGAATCTATTTCAGTCAATCAAAGACCTGGAAGCCCTGGGAAATGAGCTAGCTGAGCACATCAACTTGCCTTCAGTATACTGGAGAAGATTCTTCTAGAACCACTGGCCAGTGAATAAGACCAAGGACAATCCATATACCTTGTTTTATAAAACACTAGGTGTGGATAGATTTCTCTTTTGAGTAAAAAGAAAGCAGATGAAATATAGAGCTTTATAAGGGAAAATCTGAAGTCTATGGGAAATGAAGCTTTCTAATGAAGACTTAGAGGATCCATACTGCAGGAAGCTGGAAACAATGTTAAATAGTTTAGTAACCTTAGTAGAACATAAGGAGACATTTTCTCTACCAGACAGAAAGAGAAAATAAATAAGGAGTTAAAAATAAAAGACAACCAAATAAGATAAAGTATATATGAAATAAGAAAGAATTGAAAGAAATTAAAATTCAATAATGTAATTGTATCCTTATAAAAGGTAATAATATATTACTGAAATTGTGAAAAACTGAATCAGTATTGTAAAGGACAAATGCAAATTTGAAATGATTTACCAGAGTCTGGATTTTTAAAAATACAAAGAGATAATGGTAAAAGAGAAAGGGATACCAGGCAAAAGAAAATGAATATTTAAATAAGAATTTTAGCTTCCTAAACAAAGATAGCAACATAACTGAATCCAAAACAATTAAAGACATAATTGAAGAAAACTTTTGACTTGAAAATAAAATACCTGACTTCTCTTATTAAGGGATCCTTACCTTACCATAACCTGATAAAAATCAATGAAAGGATAGAGCTAAAGTCATTTGGCAAAATAATTGAATAGCAAAGAAGAATAAAAACATCTACAAGTACAGGGAGGATGTTTTTCAAAAGATTAAAACTTGGGTTGTCATTAGACCTATTGAATAAAATAATGAATGCAAAAAAAGAGGAGAAATATTATGTGCCAAAACTTTTATATGCAGCCAGTTTGCAAAGGCAACAAAATATATTCTCAAGTATATAGAAACTTAAAAATTATAGTACTCAAAGTTCTTTCTTGAAAAACTGTACTTGGAGACTTCTTCAAGTAAATACAAATTAATCAAAATAAGAAATACTGACTATTTAGGAGGATTTCTATGTTCTTATTCAGCAAAATAGTTGGTTGATACATGGTCAGGTGGATTCTGTGGCCTGGGCAGGGAAGCTTGACTCTACCTATTTCTTTCAGCTTCTATTTACTGCTTCTCCTTTTCCAGCATCAGGAAATGATCTTGTGGCCATCCTGCATCTCACAGTTCACGTGGAATCTCCTGCCCTCTCTGATGGTTCACAAAACACTAACTGGCCCTGTTCTGTTACTATCTTGCTCATAATGAAGGAAATATTTCAATGATTAGGCATTATGCTGAGAGAATAAATAAAATCTTTTTACTTACCTTCCCACAAAGAATTGCATAGTATAACATAATGATTATTTCCTTTGCAGAGGAACTGGAGTAGTGATTTCCTATAACATTAAAATCCATAACCAGACAAAATTGTTGGAATTTTTTCAATTGTAAAAGAGTAACAGAACTCCTGCTGCAGATGTTAACTATTTCCAAGCATTTTTTCATATCATCTCATAACAGTAAGGAAATGCAAAAATACTAATAGTGGCTATCTCTGGGGAATAATATTTCTATATTTTTAAATTTTTCTGCAATGATCCTGGTATATACAAAACAATTTTTAAATAGCATAAATTATTTTGCATAAATTTAATTACATACATTTCAAATGACATATCAAATGGACTGCTATAGTAATCATTTATATCTTAGTGACAGAACTATATGTTTTTCCTTCCCTTTGCTTTTCTGAACTTTCCAAATTATCCACAGTGATATTATAAGGCAATAAAATTATATGATACATAACCTTATTCTATAATAATTGCTTTTTATGGGGAAAAACATTTTTCATTTAAACACTGATGGGAGTGCTCAATAATATTTTTAAATGTTATAAACTCATTAGAGTCCATTAAAGCATTTAAATAATCATAAGTGACTTTGCTGTGAGTCATTGGTGTAGATGATGATGACTAATGGTGTCAAGACAGTCAAGGAAGGAGAAGTAGTAATCAAATTATCAAATATCAAGCATATCAAGACTTAGAGGCCTCCAGTAGATTTGACAAGTCAGGAACTGTTTCAGCAGAATGGTGGAGGCATAAATCTGATGTAATAGTTTAAGGAGTGTAAGGAAAGAGGGGAGGTATCAGAAATGTATCAGAAAGGTTGAGTGCTCAAGGTTGCTGCCACAGGGCAAAAGTGACAGTTCTCATAGAAAATTTCTAAAGCATTATACTGTTGTTTTCCTTAGTAGCTACCATTCTTAACTTGCCCTTGAAAATAATCCTGTTTGGATTTCTTTTGGAAATCATGTGATTCCAATGAATCTCATTGTATTTCTCTACAGGGGTAGCATCCATGGCCCTAGACTAAACGAATTAAGGCACTCTATTCCCACGACACAGTAACTGGTTCATGGGTAGGTATGGGGTCTATACTGGTCCAAACACAGGAACAGTCAAGATAATTTTTATTAGGAATTCTGGCATGCCAATGCCAGGGCTACCACTTGTCACTACTCTAGGAGCCATGATTCACATTACATTACATGTGAATTGTGCCCTTTGGAGTTGTGGGACACAGTATCCCTGACAGATGTTCTCTCCTGCTCTGGAAAAAGGTACTGTGAGGATATGAAGTCTAGGAGTTGAGGCCATGTTGTGACCATAAAGAAAGACAGTCTGAGGACAAAGCCAATGTGTGAATAAAGCTGAGGGCCATAAGAATGAGCAGTAAATCACAGAAAAGCACAGCCAGAGCCCAGACCATATTCATCTGCAGCCTGTCCTGACTCTGGACTTTTTCAGTGACATGAGCCAATAAATCTCTTTTCTTTATTGACCCAGTTAGAGTTTTCTATTATGTACAACAGAAATCATTCTCATGATATAACATCCTGTCTCCTTGTTTGCACTTACTGCAAACAGTTTGTACAAAGGCTTTGGTTTTTTGGAGTTTCATTTTTTTAAATAAGCAGGCAAAGCCACTTACATTCTCCAGAAGATGAAAGGTGAAATTTATTAGGACATTTCAGGAATTTACCCATGCCAGGCCAAGAAGGAAAATGAGGCAGGGCTTTGAAGTCCATGTTGTTGTAAAGGTGGATCCAGGTCAGCAAGCGTACTATCGTTTTCTGCGGCATGTACACATTCCCCTGGGAGATGTCCAAGTGTGAGGACTCTGAAACTCCTGTTTCCCCTCGTTTCCACCAGAGAAAGCTCATATTCATGTGTCACTTAGTATATTTCTTAGCTTACTGTTAATAAACTTTTCATTTTCTCCTGTATTTATGTGTATTATTTTACCCAATCTAAAAAAGTAAAATATCTTCTAGATTAATTCTAAAAACAGGCTTCTAGTTCAGGTTTCTTTCCATTACACCACCAAACAGATGAGTCTGTTTTCCACTGAACAAAATTTACTGAATGTGTCTCAATTTGAAGAATTAAAAAGAAAGGAAAATACATGTTAAACCAAAAAGAATTTAAGAAAAAAGGCAACCCTCAAACCCAACAAATAAGACTCTCATTGCCACATTCTGGAGGGCATTAGCTTAAATCCTCTCTACTCAATTTTTGCCTTTAATCAGACTTTGTCTAATGTGAGGTTCTCTCCTCATGTGAAAGTTGTTAAGTACATGCAAGGTAAAATCAGCCCATGTTTTCTTGATCTTAATACTTCCCAATAGTCCAATTTGCAGACACACAAGGCCATGTTCAACACGAAGTACAGCATAATGGTTCTCTCCCCTGTGAGAAAAAAAATTACTTCAAAGAAAAGCTACTCAGAGAGGGGGAAAATTTTAGCTTGATGTCTAGCAAATATAATCATTTATATATATATATATCATATTCTCCTCCCAAAAACACATGTATACACAGATACCCCAACTAAATATTGAACATCCAAAACTTTTTAACCTGGATCCAGAAAAATAGCAATTTAAAGACAGATGGGATAGAAGAAGAAGTAGGGAAAATGTGGCAGATATATATTAATATCCAGAGGAAATTCCACTACTAAATCTGTTCTGTCATTATGAGCTGAACAGATTATGTTCTACAGCCTTCAGAAATGCAATTACCAGCTGGACTGCTAAGTAGTCTACTGGCTATAAGGTAAATCTTAGGAGAATGACCAAGAGATATAAAAACACACAGTGAATAATTTTTAAATTGCCATTGTTGAAAAGACACAAAAATGATTAACTCACTTACCCTTGCTTTAATATCACTTTCTGTATTATAAATAACCCTTAGGGTATTAGAGGTTTTGCTCCTTATCATGCTCCACACACTATCTTAATCACATAATATATTTGGCTATTTGACTACTGATGTCCACTTTGCAAAAGAAACCTTGGGTACTATATAAAACAGACCCTATATATATTAATTTAGAGTGTATTGCTAGACCTCTGCATGGATTACTCTGGATTCTATAAACTGATTCAGTATTAGCAATGAAATGTAGTAAATATATATGCATTTGTTTGATTTGAAAATATATGTCTGGGTTAAAACTATATCTAAAAGGTTGTTTTAAAATGTCAACTACTCCATATTTTCAATAACCTATGGGCTCATTAACTTTTGCAATACCAAGAGCCAAGAAGAAATTATGAACAAATACTTTGGGAAAACAAACTGTTGGAGAACAATTAAGTTGTTCAAAGAAGTAATGTCTTCACTATCCACTAGAAGATTTAATGTTAAATACTGGTAATGATGTTTTCTTCCCTTCAGAATATTAGTTACGTGTAACTTAAGCCCTTAAGAAAATTATATTATTTAGTTCAAACTTGAAATTCTGCTGGTTTGTACCAAATATATTCTTTTTTATCCCTTGCCACCCAGGAAAACACATTTGAAAGTCATTTTTAGTAGCTAGTAGTCTATTAAAATATGAAATAATTTGCCTATGAGAAGAAACCAAGTTCACTGCATCCAAATGGTGGTGTTGGGACTCTCCATACTCATGCACAGGCAGTTCAATCATCTAACATTAACCCTATAGCATAACAGTGAACATTTATTTCATTCTATTGGGAATCTTAGTAAGTCAGAATTTTCTGTATTACATTTTTTATGTTCTTTCCAGTTAATGATCCTAAAATTCATGTCTGCTAATTTCAACTAGAAGTGACAAACTTTATTGATTCTCCACAGAAGAACCCAGAGGCATCATCAGAGAGATTAAAGGTAAGGTTAAAACTATCAGCCAGCAAAGTACACTTGTATTTCACTTAGTTGGCCTTGTTTGCTATAGAATAGTGTAGGGATTGCCAGAAAGAGAATTAATATCAAATCTTGCCTTGTTCCTATGGTTTAGAGATTTTTTTATAGGAAAACTAAGCTATGCAGATTTTGTGTCTTTCTGTCAAGTTAGAAAGGTAATAAGAGAAGTAACAAAATTGATAACAAGCACAGGCCTAAAAAAGATCGTCTAAGTTGCTTAAACACATCCATTGGCAACTTTGCATAAAATAAAATTCTAACCATAAAATAACAAACCAAAAGATATGTCTGATGTAGAAATGGAAATTTGAAGGGTCAGTAATTAGGGAAGAAAATTTGGAAAAATGTATGTTTGAGATCATTCGTTGTAGCATTGTTTTTTTACAGCAAAAAATTGGGTACACCACAAATACCCCTCCATGGGAGCTAGTTAGATAAACTCTGATATATCCGTATGAAGGCTACAAAAAAGACTGGGAAGCTCTCTGTATATTAGCATGGAAAAAACAGGCATACTGTTTAGCAAAAATAAATAATGAATTCATGAGATATATATTACATATTACTGATACAGTTAAAATATGTATTTACATATATACTTAACAAACATATTATTTCAGCAGTTATAGGTATTGATTTTTGTCATACGCCTTTCTGTCATTCACAGGAATGATATATGGTTTTTCATCTTTACTCTATATAGTAAATTATATCAATAAATTTTCAGAAGTCAAAAATTGTTACATTGTTGAAACAAACTATACTTTGTTGAGGTTTGTTATTTTATTGTGAAATAGGGTTTAATTGCTAATATAATGGATTACGCTCAGGTAAGTAATAAATATCTTATTTATTTTCTTTAAATCTACTTAATTTTTACTCCCTGTCTTCATCTCAATCCCTCCCCTTCACCACTAAGCAGTTTAAATGGCTTGGGGTCTTACAGAGGACCAAGGTTTGGGGGAGGGCTGGTTAAGCACAAGTTGTCACTCTGTACTGTTCTCACCTAGACACAATGCTCTGCCCCATATACTCCCACTAGGGCTGGCAGTGGTTCTGTGCTTCTCTATCATATTTAATGCACAGGACAATGGCAATACCAGATACTAAGCAGATGCTCACCAGGGCCAAGAGCAGGTATAGACCTCTGCTGCTCATGGAGCCCACATAGTTCCATTTTTCCTTTCCAGGCCATAACATTCCTTTAATGGTAGTCTGGGGGGAGGCCCTCTCCATCTAAGAATTTCCATCAGAAGCTCTTCCTTCCTCCTCCAAGACTCCTAACAAATCTCCTCAATAGGCTCCTGCTTTTAGGGGCCAGATCTGGAAAGAAAATGTCTTGCAGGTAACTTTGGCTTTCCTTATTGTCACAAACTTCCCCTGAGACAAAGTAGTACAGAGTTGGCCACCTACTTTATCACAAAGGGAAAAAATGAGAAGAAAAAAAAGAAATTAAATTTAAATTTTAAAAATCAAGTAACAAAAATTTGAAAGTCTCCTGTCACAATAATTTATTTAATATATTGCTATAGATATTCATAAGAGAGACTTATCTATAGTTTCCTTTTATGTACCATCTTTGTATAGTTTCGGTGGCATTATGATAACAGCTTTTTAAAAAAAAAAGAATTTAGCAGCATTCCTACTGTCTCTGGACTCAGTAATTTAATAGGATTGGAATTACAAAATCTTCAAAAATATGCTAAGTTGTACCTGTGAAGCTACCTGAGATAGATGAAGTTGTTTTTTTGAAAAATCTCAGTTTATTCTATGCTAAATGATCTATTTTACTGTTCTATCTCTTTCTGTACAATATTGGTAATTTTTATTTTCCAAGAAACCTATTCATTTGTTGCAGATATTCAATTATATCTGAAAAGGTTCAAATAAGTTATTATATTAAAATTATTTTATTTCCTCTTTATCTGTAGTAATTTCTTCTTTGTTTTTAATTTTTTGGATTTGTGCAAAAGATATTTTGAAACACAGGAAAAAATGATAAATTAAACAGAACAGTATACAGATAAAAAAAAGAAGAAGAAGAAAATTCACAAACAGATCCCAGAAGAAGTAGAGAAAAGAACCAGATTCAGTGCTTTCTCATGTGCCTTCTAAATTGGCAAATGACATCATAGTGGTTTCAATTTGCACATCAATTTGGATTCAAGTTATCTGGAGTCCTACTTAGGGAAGATTTGTCAGCTATGTGCTTGGACCAGTTCACTGTTTAATAAGTATAAAGTGCTGTCTAGTCTGCCTACTGAGGAAAGTTCAAGGTTTTTATTTTTGTTTTTGCTTTATTTCACTTTATCTCACTCTCATTTATGTATTTAATTATAAAAATAGTTTTGCACTAACGTTTCTGAATTTTCTCATCAATTTTTACTTCTCTTTAGAATAGATTTGGATTATGTTACTTCTAACCACATTTCAACCAATAAAATTTTAAGATTCTGGTTGTTTTCTTTCCAAAATACCTACTCACAAAACGGCAAAGTTGGGGTTAAAAGAAAAGGGCCTTGGAGAGAGTGGCTTCTCAGTAAGTATTCACTGAATTGAGTGGAAAAAAGATTTTTTTGCCAGGTTATATAAATAACAGGCTTAACTCAAGTACTTTAATCCTTAATCTAGACCAGTGGTTCTAAAACTTGTCTAAATGTTAGAATCACCTGGAGAACTTTAAAATTCTTGCTCTTCAGGCCAGGACTTGGACCAATTAAGTTAAAATCAGGGGTTGAGACCCAGGCATCAGTGGGTTGTTTGTTTTAAAGCTCCCCAATGGGCAGTCAAAATTGAGAACACTGATACAGGCTTATCTGATGTACAAGCCATCAAAAATGAGAAAGTTTATTCAACTGAAGTGCATTCATCAATTTTATGTATCAAACAATAACTATTAATCTTTCACTGAGGCCTTTCACTGAGTTAGATGTCTGTCAAAAATTCCTGAATAATTTAGTATGAAATGAATATGCTATAAAAAATCTCCAAGCATAAGGGGTAAGCAAGCAAACCTTCCATTTTCCTGTACTTGATGTAAAATAGCTCCCTTTCACAGGCAATATTTTAGTGGACAATAAGTACAATTGATCATGGTAAAGTTATAGAATTTAGAAAGGACTTCCAGTCTTTCCTGTTTCTTGCTATTCTCCATATCAATCCAGATGCCACCTCCCCACCCCACTCGGCCCCAACACCACTCCCTAACATGACCCTCTATAAGGGGACACATAGAATTCTGATTTTTGTTGTTTTTATTTCATCAAAGAGTTTCTCTTTTAAGGCAAAGCTAACTGATTTCAGATTTGCATATTAGTTACTAAATATTAAAGCAATAAAGCCCAGCAACAGATTATGGCCTGGGATATCCCAGGAGGATGGAGTCCCCAAAAGTGAAAATATGATTTCATTTGAATGGTAATGTATCAAGTAGGCATCAGATTTTTTTCCTTACATTTTATAAACTTGTTTACCAGGCATATGCTATAAAGTATACATGACTGTATACCTGT